AATTGATCCTCTCGACATCGAGATGTATGGACATGAAAAAAAATGGATTTCAATTTTTGAAAATAGTGCATCTTATAACGCATTTTTGGACTATCAATTTTCAAGATTTTAAAGTTTTCATATATCTGTTCAATCTACACTATTTTGAAGCTTTAAATTTTATAATTAAAGATGAAAATATATTTTAAGGCTATCACATAGATTTTCAGTATTAAAACCGCATTTTTGACACTATTTGAAGGTGCACTTTACTTTGAATGTTTAGTGCTTCGGCTCTATACAAACCGCACCCATATATAAACACACCTCAAATAATAGTTATAAACACACCTCCTCAAATAATAGTTATAAACACACCTCCTCAAATAATAGTATGGAAATCAGAACCCATGCGTAAATAAATTTTCCTTACTTTTTTAACTAAAAAGTTGGTATATATTATTCTATTCTATTTATATTAAATTGCTCGATTGAGATAACCTCTTGAGTCCACAAAACGTAGTATTGTCCATAGACAACAGATTGAGCGTTTGGCCCTCTTTAACAATATCTGTTAACCCATTCTACATGCACTTTTAGATCTCACAATACCTATGAATAAAGACTTAGGATGCCATCTATGGTACAAATATATAAAAAGGAGAAAGTCAGAAAACAAATATGGATGCCAATTACGAGATTAACATCGGTTACAACCATTTCACCACTTTTGCAATAATGTACTATCTTATAAAGGGCAACACAAGGAACGGAACGAGTCCTTTTCATTAATAAGCTCAGTGAAGTTTATATAATTATTATCACTATGAGTGATTACTTTCTCAAGACTGATTGATCCTCCAAAGAATATTTATTTTAACTGCAAATGCATTAGAGGGAAATTTTGTGGTTCCAAATAAAACAATTTAACTTAGTTTTTCTTTTTTATTTTATTAAAGTTAATTTTTTTACTGAAATGAATTTATTGCGCTGCTGCAAAGTAAATTGCAATAATCGAAAAAGTAAACGAGGAAGGCGAATGACTGTTTTTTTGTTTGATGCATATGAGGTACTAAGAATCGTTTAATTGACCTATTTGTTAAAAGAGATGACGAAACCCATGCAATGGTTAAACTCGAAGTATAACACTAGAACCTCTTGTTATCTATAAGCACAATTTATTTATAGTGCTGTTCGGTGTGGTTTTAGTCGTAATACAAGGTTAAATACAACTAGGGAAGTCTGCACATAAATCCAAGGGGTTAACACATGAAATAATCATTGCACGGGCGCCAAGCCTATACACCTTAGCGAATGATGGGTCATTATATAAGACCAATCATTTTTTGGAAATATTTTTGCCAGGCATGCTCCTATATGTGTATTAGTGAGGTATGGTGAACCTAGTACTCATCGTATAAAAGCCCCTATATGCTTTAAGAGTTCTAGTCATCGTTCGACCCATATAACCTTCATTGGCGACAAATCATAGAAAGACTATCAAACCTTCTCAATTGGAGACAAGCTCTAGGATCCCGAAAACCCATATATGCTCTTCCACACGATATTGAAAGAGTTTGGATACGGTACGATACGTCTTCGAATCCATCATCAGTTAGTACTTATATACTTTGACTAGCGACCAATCATTGAAAACAATCTAACCATCCAAACCTATATGCCTTTCCACATGATATTAGAAGAGTTCGGATATGATATTCCACATCTTTGAATCCCACGTCTTTGTCCTGACCATCGGCCTTCATGCCATGAGCACTTAAACCTAGCTAACCAGGGTGACTTCAAAGGTCTTGTTGCTGCAGTAGTCATGGGGGCTCGCTTCCAATCATTAATTAGTGAGCACCCAATTTTGCAAGCCTGCTTGCACAACTTAGTGAGTCGAGGTGAGTCTAACGGACCTCAACCAAATAACCTAATATTGTGTGAAAAAAATTGTATGTTATAACAATAGTGTTTTCTACAAGAAACATTTTATTTTTTTGCTCCCGTTTATACTTTCACTGTTGGAATATTATCCTCCCATCCAAATTCACCAACTAGGAATAAGAGATGATATTGTAAAGGAACATAACATCCACAATAATATGGTATTCTTATTAATTGATCTGATCGTAATTGACAGTATGCGCTACGTTCTTTGCATTTAATATCATCATTTCTAGTAATCCAGATTGCGCCTACCTTTCATACAAAAGGTTTATTGTATATGCGTTGATCTGACTTGCTATTTTTATGTGGAACAATTTTATACTAATCTAAATTCTGCAGTTCAATGAGACTTTTGAATTTAGCTAAGAAGGGATTTGTAGAAAGTATATTATGAATCTGATATATGCATTCATAATTTAATTCATTGGGATGGCATAATCTGTTTTTTAGTTTCTTTTTTAGTGTCATAAAAATAAATTTATAGAAATGTAGGTTGATGATCTATAGGTCATAATGGTGGAGCATAGTGATATACATGACCTCTAATTTAAATGGATAAACATCATGAAAACTAACAGTTCAAATGCTTTTTTATTAGAATTATTATTTTTAGTTTTTAAAATTTATTTATGTTTTCATATTCATGATCTCCATGTTAAAGATTACATGTCTTTAAAAATTAAGTCTTAAAATCCATCTCAAAAATAGATTTATTAAGAGGCCTGCATTTCTACATATGCGCACTTGCCCGCATAGAAATGTAGTCCTTTAAGTAAAGACCGGTTTAGAACTTGAAGGTTTGAACTGTTTTTTTTTTTTTTCAATAATAAGGTTAAAAAATTGTAGTTCCAAATAAAAAACTAGGTCAAATAAGGAAAAATCGCTCCTTCATGCTTGGGGGTTTGGGGGTTCCAAAATGGGATATTTTAAAAAATAATAATAATAAGGGACATTAATGTAAATTGTAAAGGG